CAAATTACAGTATTTTCAACATCAAAGGATTTGGGTTCCACTGCTCTCATTTGGTGTTTTTCAAAGCAAGGTTTATGATCAACTGTAACAAAATCTTAAGTCATCTGGGGAACTTGCTAAAAATACAAATGTTGTCTCCTCTTCCCCTCCCCTCCCCTCAACAAACAATTCTGCTAAAACAATGAACTGGAACAGAGCAAGGCAGACATCTGCATCAGCAGCTGAGAATGAAAGAAGGGAGAGTCAAGGTGGCATAGTGACCCAGAGCAGGTACCAGGGCCCAAGCAAAACAAGGGGAGTGTCCACACAGGAGTGCTGCCTGGCATGGTATCAGCACCTGAGCAAGGTGAGCAGGATGTCCATGCATGGGGGTGGCCTGCAACAAGGTGACAGGCCCTGAGCCAGATGATGGTTCTAGTGTTCTCTGACTTCCCTTTGAGACTGGTGTAACTGAGGAAACTTGCCCCCAAAAGAATCAGGGCTGACCTGATCACGGATATAACCCTGGGTGGTGAGTGCGATTTTATTTTGTCAAAGACAGGCATACAACCAACAAGAATGATGTTCAGAAAAAAAGTGCAGAATTAAATGTTTCTCATTTAGCAGGTATACTATTTAAATACTGTTCAGATTTAACTCAGTGAAGCAGTTGAAACACTAGGTAGGGGATCAGCTTAAGTTAAAAGAGAGAAAATGCTCTATATTTTTCATTATCCCTCTCTGTTCTCACTAGTCCAGCCAGATTTATTCTGGGGATTGGGGGTGGGTTGAAACTATTAAAAATTTTATCAAGTGTCCAAGGGCACAGGACCACCTCACTGGAAATAGCTGATTTATCTGTAAGGATCAGGAGTGTCAACCCTGTCTTTCTTCTATAGTAAATAGTTTCACCCAAGATTGAGTCAGTATAGTGTCTCTATCCATTTTATTTTGGGGAAAGACAATAGATGTGATTATAGCCTTAATGTACTTTTGCTAGATTTGTTTTCTGTAAAAAAGAACTGATTAAGGATTATAAAATCTCCAACTTTCTGAACTGCCTGAAATGGTATCTTTGCTGCAAATTTATAAAGTGCTTTCATAACCACAATATCCCAGGCATGCAAGCATTTGTTCTGTTGTTAAAGACCTAGTGAAACTGGTATCTGGGAATGATAAGCGGGAAAAAGCATATTCCTGGCTCACAGTCTTAATGGAGGTGCACGGAAGATAGAAAGCCTCAATGTGCCTTGGGAAAATGAACCACACTCAAGTGGAAAACTTTGTTTCAGACCAGTTAAAACCATAAAATATAGCTAACATAGAGCTTAACTGTACAGTGGTATTTTCAACTTCTGTATCAAGAGATAATTTTTTGCACTTGCTTGGGGTTGGCCCACAGCTTCAGCCATGTTAGACAGATGTTTTTACTCTAAATGCAATGCAGAATTACCTATCATTTCTTTGCTATGCAGATTGAATATTTTGCATGAGCATTCAAAAACGCATGTTTATAGTTTGAACTTCTTATGTTCATTGTTTTCTAGTACCAAACGTATGTCTACAGATGGAAAACTCAGAGTCTTTGAAGATGGGTGGTTAGGAATTACTCAAAAAGATTCAGTTACACACAAACATATTATACATAATGTTGAAAGGGCTAGATTACACAGTTATCAAAACATATACGGGAGCAATCCTCATCTAGAAGACATGTTTTAGGAATTCCAAATGATCATACTCGACAGCTGGGCCTATTTGCAAGACTTGGTCAATGGAAAACACTATCGATTTTCTCCCCCTTATGGTTTCCCACCCTCTCTATTGCCATTATTTGCAAAAACAGAGTAGCACGCTGTCTTATCGCTACTGCTCATTACCCTCAAATGACGGCAATGAAAGCTGGCAAAACAATTAAGCAACATAGCAGACCGTTTTTATGAGTTTACCTTTAAAGATAACCAAGAGAATTTTAAAGAAGTGGGTAGAGGGCTTTACAATGTTATGGAGTATTTATTTTTGAAAGTCAGTGAGTTCCTTGCAGTTTAAGGGAGCTAATCAATATTGAATTATTTCAAACAATTACAAAGGTAACATTCTTAGGCAAAGAAAAAAGTATGCAGAATACTCCTACAAGGGCGACCAACCTTTTTGGAGTCACTTGATTTTGCCATAACTGACAACTTAAAAAAAAAGTTATGAAAAATCTTTTTTCAATCCCAAAGACTTGGTTTTTTGTTGAGAATTTTGTGATAAACCTTAACCGCAAATATGCTTAAAATATCAAGAAGATTTAAAGAAACTGTTTTAAGATATATGTAGCTTTAGGGCCTCAAAATGTTTTTATAAACTGTTTAGCTAGGTCAGGGCTAATCAAATGTTCTCGATAATGGTTAGTATGTATGCATATCTGTATATATGCACATGCACATTTAAGGATTACAACTCTGCAAACTATTATACTTTAAACATCAAAATTTTATCTTTGGTGATTTGGAAGTCACTCTTTTTTATCTTGTAGAATCTTATCAAAATCAATTTTCTGGTAATAAGTCAGTTATAAAACATAGCATAGGGGTATTCAATGGGGAAAATTTCCTCTTCTATGGCTTCAGCTTATAGAACTGGGAGTATTAAGTTAGACCTACTAGAGATCTATTGGATGCATCCTCATATGAAGTAAATGCAATATGAAAAATCTAAGCTCTATTATTGACAACTACAATATGCCCAAATTAAAGGGTCAGAGAGATTAGGCCCAAAGTGTGTAGTAGACAGAATGAATGCTCATGGTTCAAAATGAGGGACCCTGGCCATGAGACTGCAGAGTCATAATTGACGCTTCAGCATTCCTACTAGAAACTGCACTCCCGCTGCACTACAATGAAATTCACTGTTAACCATTTCAACTCAAATTAGGAGGGATCATTTTCCTATGAATAATCCCTACTTCTTAAATTCATAATAAAAACACAATATAGCAACATTTGCTTTTATAAACTAATTCTGCCAGATTAACAAATGGAACAATATATAGTTTTGAATTTCAAGGATCTAAGCCTTGTCATATACTACCTACTCCCCACCATTTCTTTAGATAATATGACATGAATAAGTAGGTCAAAATGCTTCTTGGAAAAGTTTCTTTATTTCTATTTATTCACTTATGCAAAAACAATATCAAGCGATATGTAATAGGAACATACTTTTAAGTTTAAAATTAATTTTCCATTTTGAAAGGTTCAGGACTTTGTCTTTTTCTACCTTACCATTTTTAAAATACTTCAGTCCAAAAAAAAACAGCACACAAAAGAAAAGTTTATTCCCTTACTTAGTCATTCATGTTAAGTGGCTCTTTAGAATTTAGGTATCATTTACAGTAACCTGGAGATTTAATCACAGAATGATACATGTAAGAATGTCATAGCATACACAAAAAACAGTACAGAGAATTTTTAAAAAGACAAATTTCAGGGTACTTTCAAATTATGAGGCATAGTAAAGCCCTTTTTGGGATCCTTAAGTTAAAAGACTCTTCCCTTCAGATTCAAAATAAAAGTTATGAGGAATTATAAGACAACAATGGGCACTGATGATATGGCCCATGGTAGCTGTACTAGGTAAGGGATAGAAGGAGTCTTCATATGTTTTAGTGAGGGGGACAATGAAAGAAAGGCCAGGAAGCCATTTTAAACTCATGTTCATGGCAGGTCAAATGATGCTGAGACAAGAGTGTCCCTTAGAAAGGTATTATCCCTTGCTATATTTCCAAGGCTTAGCCTTCAAACTGCTCATACTGCTACTTCTCATCTTTACATCACCTATTCTAGGAGCAAACCTCCTGGAAAAATGGTGTTACAAACTGGAAAAGCAAGACTGTGGGTACAGCAAAAGGGCTTTGGTGCTCTGTCACGATATACAATGTCTAATGAGGAGACTAGTTAATCTAGAAATGGATTGTTAACTGACTCTAGTGTATTCTTGGGATATGCTTACTAAACGACTTTTGTGATTCAGAAACGCCAAAACTACTTTGACTCTCTTGGACATGTTTTACTTTAAAAAAGGAAATAGGCTAACAAAAATAAAAATCGATTTGCTTTTTAACAAATAACTAATCTCTTAAATGTTTTTATAAAAACAATTCCTTTCAGATACTCTGATTAACCTTTAAGTGACATAAAAAAGCTTCAGCATTCTTTATTACCAATATTTTGCACAATTTAAAATACGTTTAGCATTTCGAGGGAAAAAAATTTAAAGAAAAAAAGGAGAATGGTAACTCACCAAGAAGCTTATGTACCTAGTAAAGTTTAGTTTGTCTTGGATTCCTTAAAAAAGTTAGGTCCAGAATTTTAGTTATCTAATTACCATCCCAATCAAATAAGTTATCTATGTGTGGATTCTACATAAAAGATAAAATATTTCCAACTAATAAGACCCACTGATTGGACTGTTTAGAATTGGTTTTACTGGGTTTAGATAAGGAAGACTTCAATAAAGCTAACTACATATTGAGTTCCACTGATTAAAAATGCAGTTTTAAAAACTATGCTTTTGCGGTTAATTTCTAGACAAATCATAAATGTAAAGCACAAAACTGTAAATATTGTACTATTCACAGGTACTTGCTGGAGAAGTGAAACGCTTGTATTCAAACTATCAAAATTCTGACCTTTCAAAATAGGTTTTCTAGAACAATTTTTTGAAAATCAGCATTTACTTTTAAACTGTCAATTTCAATTTTTAAAAAATCCTTACTGATAAATCTTAAAGCTGTTCCTTTCAGTCTCAATTATTTTTTACTTTCAACTACATATTTAACACAGAACTGGTTTCTAAATAAACATCTAATGAAAAACAGTTTCAATGTAAAATAAAACTAGGAAATCTAATACAGCTTGTATAGTCTTAATGTGATCAATACTCAGAATTAAATTTCTATAATGAAAAACTTTCAGTCTCTTCTTAATATTCAAAACCAGCAACTTCCCATGAGACTAGAAAGTTAGAAGAGAGGATCAAACAGATTTTAGCACTGCTCGACTTCTTCTAAAATGATGTACTCTTTTATCCTAGAAAAAGACAGAAACAGTCCTTTTTACTTCATTGAAAATGTCCTATTATCGCTATGACCTAAGAGAGTTGCGAAATACTTAAGGTACTTACTTTGGGTTTAAAAACTATAAATGAGAGAAAAGTGATCCTTTTTGGAAAGTATTCCTGAATTTTGATAACAAATGTACCAATGACTAGTTTTATTCAACAATTAAAAAAGAAATCTTGGTAAACTCAGAAGCAGAGGACTTAGAATCAGTTCCCTTTTATGCAGATTCTTAATTAATGATTTGGCAATGCTGACCCAAAGATACTTGGTGAAAAATGTATGTAATTTTAAAAAGCACTGTTTTTACTAACAAAAATACATTTGATAGAAAACATAGCTTGAGAACAGCACTGCACTTCAATCTAAAACCCTATGCTTTTAGATTAAAAATAAAAGTTTTGACAAAAAAATAAACAAAAGTTCTGTCATATTTAAAGGCCTATCTTTAACCTGTATTGAAGATACATCATTCTTTGGGAAATGAAGTAAAAAATAAAAAATATATGCAAAATTTTCCTTTCATTTTATGTTGTGCAGAGAAGAGGAAGTGAAGCCTTGCAAAGAGGAATGAAGGTGAGTAAACCAGTAATGACATAATAGTATTTTCTTTTCTACATATTTAGCTTAACCCTGCCCTCTTCTTAGGAATTAAATTCAGTTGTCATATAAAGAAGGGTAACTACTGGAAATTACCTCAGCTGTCAACAGGGTAAAATCTTACTTAGGTTAAAGCCCAGAAAAGTGGTTACAAACTCAAATATCTTCAAAGGTCAAGTAGGATGAGAAAAATTACGAAGGAACTGAAATTTAGAAAATAGAATGGAATTTACCATGAAGTAGTATATAACCTGCCTCAGTGCACTTAAGTTCAATTAAAACAACAATAACATTTAGCCAATCAAAATAGGTCTAAAGGCCAGACAGCTGTAGGCTACCAATTTCTGATTTCTAGCCCAGAGGAGCATGTACCTCCAGAAGGTTCAAAAGGAAGCTTTTGTCTAATACCAAGTGAAAGCTCAAGTTTAAAGACTTTTCTGTTTTGCAAACAAATCGTTTAAGTACTACCTATTTAACCTTCAGAACTTTGGGAAAGGAAAGCTGTGATACAACACCAGTTCTTTCCTTTAAAGTGTACTATGTAGAATGAAACAACAAAAGAACAAATGTCAACTTTAAATGAATATTTACTCCCTGTTGAGAAGATGGTAAGAAGTTAATCCTGCTATGACTCTACTCTTTTGCATTATAGGAAGTCCTCAGTATATCCTTCAAAAAAGGCTTTGTCCATTCATAGATGGGAAAAAAACTATTCTCTTTCCCCCATTTTAGAACACAAAGCAATGATTAAAAACTTCCCTTTGAATGTAAAATGATGCAGTCATTTTGGGAAAATTCTGGAAGTTCCTTGAAAGGTTAAACATATTACCATTTGACTCAGCAATTCCAATCCTAGGTATATACCCAAGAGAAATAAAAACATATGTCTACAAAATAACTTGTACATGAATGCTCTGAGCATTACAGAGCATTACTTATTAGAGCCAAAAAGTGGAAACGATGCAAAAGCCTATCATGTGATGGATAAAATGGTATATCCATAAATAAAAAGAAATAAAGTACTGATCCATGCTGTAACACTGATGAACCTTGAAAACATTATACTAAGTGAAAGAAGCCAGCAGCAAAAAGCCAAACGTTGTATTATTCTATATACATACAAGAAATGTCTAGAATACGCAAATCCTTAATACAAGTAGGTTAGTGGTTGTCTAGGGCTAGAAGAGCTGGGGGGAAATGAAGTGACTGCTAATAGGTAGGGGGTTTATTTTTGGTGTGACTAAAATATTCTAAAATTGACTGTGGTCATGGTCTGCAAATATACTAAAGAACTGTCACTTTAAAGTAGTGAACTCTATTATGTTCAAACTGTATCTCAATAAACATGTTATAAAAAAACAACAAAAACATCCCTTTACGAAGCACCCACAATATTCCTCCCTCATTGGAGTGACCAGTTAGTTCCTTTCCACATTCACAGGCTCAGAACTAAAGAGATCTTAGAGACTTTTAGTCTTGTGTCTCCTCCTTTTAGACTTGTAAAAACTGGATGGAGCCTTAACAAAATTTACATGACTTGTCCAAGGTGATAGAACCAGAATCAGAAACCAGACTTTCTTAAATTCAAATACCCACATTTCTCTTCTACTCTACCAACTCGGAATCAACTTCCATTTCTTTCTACTCTGCTCTTTTCATTGCTTCACTTTACCTCTTCTCTGCCTACATTATTCAAGTATGTCATCTGAGTGATCAATTAACTTCCTCTTCAGTCCAATACCCATGTACTCTTAAGTTTTGCTTTCTGTATTTAAACTTTTCTATTTCATCAGGCTAATACTCTCTTTCAACTATCTTTTTTCGTGAACTCTTTCAGCTATAAGCTTCTGCTAAAGGTTTGTTCCCTAAGAACAAACTACACTATATCAAGGTTTGAGCAGCATAAAATACATTGCCACGTAAAACTCACAGTGGTTTACTGATTTACAGTCAAATGCCAAGAGTTCAATTAAATGTTCTATGTAATCTCAAAATGTATATACCACAGGAAAAAAAGATGCTTTGTGGCTGACAAATGTGCTTTTTATCCTGTGTACTATTCCTTTCATACCTTGAAGTAGTCATCTTGAGTAACAACAGAGTTTCTCAGTCTGTTCTCTGGATTAAACAGACAAGATACCACCGTCTGTATGCTTCGATCCACAGATTTCTGAAACACAGACGTTTTCTGTAATCTAAAGACTATTCTTTTTATTGCTAACAAGTTTTTTTATATAAAGTTCAATGAATACACACACTTATTTCTAAAGAATTCTTACGGAATTCATAATTCTTACCACATGTCACTTAGAATGTAACTTTTCTACTGAATTCAAGACATATTTTAGAACCTTAATGATAGAGTACTGGTTTAAAAAGCTCAATTTAGTAAAACCCTAAGATACTTGCTTAAGGCTCTTTAATTTTTCCTGTTAGGTAGGAAACAGTGAACTTCAACATTTCAAGAAAAAATATCCAGGATAAAAACCTGGTATTATACTTTGAGCTATTTTAATACTGTTTCCAAAGTTCAAATCATGTATCAAATCAGGGAATTTTTTCACCCTATAGTTCAGTAGTTCTCGACCTTTTTTCCCCACTGAAAAACACTTGGACAAAGTTCACATACTACAATGAAAATTCTCACTGTTACCCATATTCTCACCCATTCAATTAAACATAAGGTAATTAAAAAGTGAGAACACCGTTATTATAGGAATCTGCTGATAAAAAATGAAACAACACTGTCTACTTCAATATTTCAATTATTACTACCATATATAATGTTATAGAAAGAATACCATAAATAATTGTATGTTGCTATTTAGCTAAATACATTTTTAAATTGGGAAAAACAAAACCAGGTAAGTATAATTCGTACTAATCTATCTTTTGCAGAATAGGAGGCTTGAGGTAACTTGCCATTTGCATTCTGCTAAATCATGTTAATACAATATTTATTGAAGTATGGTTTTTAAAAAAAGAATAAAAACAATGAAAAAGGAACAGAGAAAAGAACTACTGAATCAGGAATTATATGTATACACTAAAAGTTTGGAGGTGCTGGAAATTTCATCAACTTTAACATAAACTGATAAATTATCAATTAATTACTCAAGCTCTTTCATTTATGGCTTCCATATTTAAATTTGGGTGAAGATGCTTACTTCTCAAAGGGCCATTATTAAAACTTGAAAAAATAAATATGAAAATACTAATAAACAAAATTATATGTTTGCCTTTTGTGGGCCATTTCCAGAGGATGGAGTAGCTTCATGAACCGAGCATTCACTTGTCAAAACTTCAGCTCCTGAATCAACTTCATTACAGTGGTAGTTAACAGCTGTATAAACCTACATTTAAAATGATAAAAGTGTAATTAAAGAGATGTATATTAGACACATTTCTAAACAATCTATTCTTCAAAATGGAGAGATGATATTGAAAGGTTAAATGTGGGTCGTGCTGAAGTTCAATTATATTACCCACAAACTTTATTTTAAACTGAACAGGTGAAATGCAATAAGGCAGTCTTTGTTTTGAAATGTCTTTTAAGACTCAACAAATCAGAATTAGAAGGGCTCTAAAAAAAAAGAAACTTCAAAATATAGTTAGGGGATAGGAATTTCCCAGTGCCTGAGAGTTTTAACTCATATTATATCCCTCAAATATCCAGTCCTGATGAAAGATGGAAGTCAATGAAGACTCAAGTATTTTAGAAGTAGCACTCTTTTGTTTTATTCCTTTTCTTACATAACAAGTAACAGAAAAATATTACTTTGCTTCTCTTCAACAAATGTATGCAGAGCAGCCATTGCTTAAGCACACAAAAACAAGCTGAGAAACAAAAAGCAGTTTCTCCCATGGGAGTATACATTTGAGTTGACAAGAAATTAATAAACTATAACACATAATGTAAAAGGGCAATAAAAAATGTTTCTAGGCATACATGGTACGGCAAAAGGTCAAGAAATATATTAATAGTTAAGCACAAAAATACTTTAAAATAAAAAACAGGAAGCGTATTTTTGGATAATTCACCTTACCGGAGGTATAACGTAACTCCTTTGTTCCCCACTAGGCCATTGTGGTGGAATTTTAAAAAAAAAAAAAAAAAGAGGAAATAATTATTTAAATATTCCTACACTTTTCACAAAGCTATGAGATAGACAATGTTAAGGTATTTGTCATGCTGGCTCCTTGAACTTGTTATAATAAACTGAAAGAAAGTAGTACTTTATGTTTCTAATATCTGAGTATTTTATTACTACTTTCATATATAAACCCCACCTTTTCCTCAAATTTCTGAAGTTGGCATTCAGGAAAACTCAAAGACAGTAGAGTTATTTGAATTTATTACTATAGGTATGGTAATAAATGATCATATGTATATGATCATGGATCAAAGATATAGTCATATCATATCATTTTATTTAAATCTATTCCTCTAGTACAATTTATAGAAGTCAGCCTGGGTGTTTCAGCTACTTGACAGCAAAGATGAGGAATACATGAAGGGACACCAAATCTTGTAAGACAGTACAAGAGAAAAATTCTTGCTAAGTACATTCCTATCAAAATATCATTCCCTATTTCTAATACAGAAGGTTTAATTCAAAGTGTTTTCTTAAATTTTAGGCATACTCAACTAGTTTAAATGCTAAACTATTGGGGAAATTTATATAAATAAAGGTCTCAATAACATTCCAAAGTAAATAATTTGTTAACTCTTAAATTACCTGATAATTATACACCGGCAGCTGATATCCGGTGATGACCTGAACTGGTGAACTTGGATAAGGAGGATATGCCTAAAAATGGAGTTTCAGGAAGAATGTATTAAGGTAAATTTTTAAAAATTAGGAGGAATATTTTTCCCCAAAGAACAAAAATATGACAATGAAGAAATGTTAATTATTTTTCTATATACAATGCAGGATCCTATTTGAGGACTGGCTTCATGAAGAAAAAAAGTATTCTCTAGGAGAAAGGAATAAATAAGGGAAGTTCTGCCAGCTTATTTTATATTATTTGTATATTTATTCCCACCCAGAAAGTTCTTTCTTACACTGGTAACAAGGCTCTATTAGGATAGATTTCCCTGTCAAAGTTGTATTAATACATCTGCTATTTCTTTGTAAAAATGCTTTTAAGCAGTTTTGTAGTTCTCTGACAATCTCACAGGGTAATGTGTAGTCAATGTATAGTCTTCCTACAGACTTACAGCTCTTTTTGAATTTTACTTCTGAACTTAAGGGCAATATATAACCCCAAATTGGAAAAGAAGCAGTAAAATATACTACATCTTTCAGTAAGTATTAGTGGTTAAAAACTTATAGATAGTAGCATACATGAATACACCCAGGATAGGTAATAACTCACAATAAATATAAACAAGTGGGTTTTTTCTTCTAGCCATGTTTAAAACAAGAAAAATAAGAAAAAATATACCCTACACTTCGGGTAGATGGAAAATGTAAACAAAGGAGAGACGCTGTGGCACTATTTCATTATTATTTTGGGATTTTTTCTTGCAAATAAAATGTCTTTTAAACTGAAGAAAATAAAATGAAGAAAATAAACACTATTTATGATCAATAGGAGAGAGTAAATATTACACATACCACTTCAAATATTGAAGTAACCAGGACCAAATTGTATGCCAGGACCAAATTGTACTTGTAGTTTACAAGTACAGTTAAGTCATGAGAAACCTATCCATTCTAGAACCAGAATACATCCAGAAATCAGCAATCTGCATGGGGAGGCATCTGAAAATTATTGCAAATAAAGAATAACTAGGCAAATGGCTAACCTTAGAGAGGAATAAAATAAGCAGACACATGAGAAAAGCTGCCTTCATGTATTTTATGAGTTTTTATGTAAGGGAAAAAAGGGAAAAGATATGTTCCAAGTGGCTACAGAGATCAGTTTTAAGATAAACTGATCTCTTACAAACTATATAGAAGCAGATTTCAGCTTAGAATAAGGAACACTAAAAATGACATATTTTTTAATAAAAAAAGATTTCCCATCACGGAAAGTATTCAAACAGAAACAATAATATCACTTATTATGGAAATTGTGGATATAATTCCACACAGGGTAAGAAGTGACAGTGGTTTACTTTTAAGGTACCCCATCTATAAGATCTCCAATATTAATAAATGGAAAAAAACCGAGGAATGTAGGTAATTCTTACCTGAACATATTGAGTTATAGGATTCATCATGGTTGGAGGCTGCACGTAAGCTTCAGCATTTGGATTGCTCCAGACACTCTGAAACTGCGGTGGAGGAGGAGGATTAAAAACCAAAGGACGTGGCTGCACATGATAAGCACCTTTGTAAAGAATAAAAAGAAAACAAAGCCTATTTTTAGTTCTCTGAAAAGGTACACATGTGTCAACAAGAAAAATTCCTTTCTTTTACTCACATAAATTTTGCTTCCTGATTGCAGGGCCCAGTTTCAGCTTTTTACCATGGAAATTTATCTGTGACTGAAAATAAAATAGTAACAAAAGTAGAATGAATTTCAAAGTCTTTACTTCTAAGACTTTGATAAACACCCAAACCTTCTAAAATTTCTACTATCAGAGATCAGTAATAAGAACATAATAAATCAAAATTTATCAGCACCTTACTTACCATCACTACTCTAGTCAAGTGTTGAGAGGTGTTGTGGAATCTGATCAAAACCTTTACACTGTCTCTAGTTCATGAAGCTAGATCCCCAATCAAAAATAAATAGGTTCTCACAAGTTATGTAAGATTACTCAAGTTTGAATTTCAAAAAGGAAACATATCTATCTCTATATTTTATACAAGACTGAATATATATTCAGGACTCAGACAATATTAAACATTGCATCCATTATCTAATTAAGAGATTTTTCCATAAGAAGACTACTTACTTCTACTATCTTCTGCACATCCACGTCATTATAAAATGAAACAAATCCATAGCTAGAAAGGCAGATAAAGTATAAAATCATCATAACTGTATATGTTTAAACACTTCTAGCATTCTATGAATTAACAAAAGTGATAATGATAAAGGATGAAGAATATGCTGAGATAAATATTTTTAAGATGTACATGATAGATATTCTATAAGTATTACTGCTTTTTTCCCTTACACTTAAACTAGTGTGGGAACCTTATTCAAAATTCCCACCTAAGAAACTCAATTTAATTTATTATCATCTATGGCAGGATGGTTAAAATTTAAGATACTCTGAAATATGCAAAGAAAACAATTCTTTGATAAAATTGATTAATCCATGAAGATGGGAAATATTTAAATACAAATACTTGGAAAATTATTAAATGAAAGAGCTGACAGCAAACTTTTATCCTCTACATGAAAGAAATTAACAAAGCAACAAATTTCATTTATACAAGTATAAGAACACCAGTTTTGAATTCTGCCTCTCTGATACTCTACAGACTAGTTCATATGTATTTTGTAATTCATACTCAACATGTTTTACTTACCCTTTGGACACACCAGTTCGATCCGTGATTATCTTCACTTCTTTTACTGAACCATATCTAGCAAAGAAACTTCTAATTTCGGTTTCATCCATCTATGGAGAAAATTTGACATTAAGAAAAAATATTCAGCTTCAAAAATTTCAATTATGCTATAAAAGAAGATTTGGTAATGTAGAACTATTTCCCCCAAGTATCCCCAAACTACCTATAGCTTTGTCAAAGAAACTTTTAGTCCCTCACAGGTTAAATACAAAACTAATTCCAAATCTGCATGAAGTACAAATAGCCTTATACTTGCAACAAGCACCAAAATCCCATTATTCACACAATATATTTTTAAATAAATGAAATATTAATACAATACCCTAACATCAATTCCACCAACAAAAACGGTGTTTGGCATGATTTTGCCTTCAGGTAAAACATAGCCTTGGCTGGTCGTAGATGATGAGGACTGGGTGCTCGCCTCTCTGGAGATGGTCGGCTTTGGAGTCTCAGGATTTGCAGCAGACTGTAATGTGGTTAACAGACAGACAGAAATCGTCAGTAGATATACAGGCAAAACCCATACATGATGTTTCCTCTTAATTTTTGCTTTTAAAATATAAAACATTTTCATATAAATTATTTTCATTGTAAATGAATCATCAATACAGCTTATTTCAGGCTTAGATGTAAAGTAATCAGAGCAGATCACCATGACATTTTAACAAAAGGGTATAGTACTTTATTAAACCCGGTGTTGCTCATTGCCAGCTCTTATGGCAGAATACTGATTTTATATTGAGTTTGTGAACATACTATATGAACTGGTAAAAAATAATTAGCAAATTCAGGTTTGTAAAAGATAAAAAGTTATTAAAGTCATCCTATTCTACGCCAATAAGCAAATTTTCATAATACAACTTATTAAAAAGCATGGTAAATTTTTTAAAAGGATAAAATTTAAAAAGCTGCATCAAAGAAAAAAGCATCTAAGTTTTAAACCATTTTTTGGTCTCATTTTTCTATTCACCAAAATTAACATTGTTTTTATGATGAGAATACTCATGTTAGTATGCCTACTTTACTTTGGAAACGGATCACGAAAACATTACTTGCTCACATGTAGTTCCTAATAAAAAAGGGCTTTACCACCCCTTATCCCTAATGCTAGGGTGTTCAAAACATCTTTTGAAAGAACATTTTCTTCTTGAATTATACCAAATCAGCCTTACTGATAATTCTAATTTTCACAGTGGGCTGAGAGATAAATGCCATCTTTATTTTCAGAAAAAGAGACCCACACATGAAACACACTATTTTTCTGGATTCTGGTCAGAACTCTGTCTTTAGTCTTTCCACACTAAGGTTAATGTAAATTTCTCTGAACCAGAATTTACTGGTAATGTATGCTGGAAAGGCAGTATAGCATAATGAAACAAAAACTGATTTAGTTAGGAGATGTACGTTCATGTCCCTTACTAGGTTATAAGCCACTTATTTCGCAGCAGTTTATTTCTGGGAAAATTGCTTTGAGAATGAGGTGAGAGACCATCTGTGAATTTATTTTTAAAAGAGTATGCCAATGTTAAGTTAGTCCTGTTATCTGAATTTTCAATAGTTAAAGAAGTTTCTTTCCAGGTTTTGCTATTGATTTACTTATTTTGTAGATGTTTTATTAACTAATTTGAGATGGAACTTCAAGAAATTATTTTATGGCACATCAGCAGCAAAAGAGATAAAGTTATTACACCTGTTTATGGAGTAAAACAAGGACAAAAAACCCCACTAGTACATATTTTTACAAAGGTAAGCACAGTAATTTTTACAGAAATTAGTAGCAATGGGAAAGTAGGTAGAGTTCCTATTTTGTTGGATGCTAGAAGTTACTGATAAATTTAAGATTTTACAAAGTGTATACTAATTAGAGATGAAATAAAAATTGTCAAATCATACAATTTGAGCATTTTGGCTTTTCTGTATTCACTTGTGCTTACAATTGTTATTTTGTGTTTCTATTTGAATACTTCCTAATTCATTAACAGTGGTACAGTGACATTTCATGACAATTAGATGGGAGAGAGTAATCTATTTCTAAACTTTTTCCATTATAAAACATAAACATTGTTAATTTTTAATAGTTTTAGTTTTTTTCTAAATGGGACAATATTACACAAGCCATGTATCTTGAACTATGAAGAACTTGATTAGACTTCCCTTGCTATAGACAATTTATGAATCCCTTTCAATTAGCTCATTCAAAATTTAAAACACAAGTAATACAGTGGTTCTGAAATTCCTGTAAACTTTCTTTTCTCCTCAATTTCCCCTTCATTTGTGGATGAACTTTGGATACCTTTTAATTTAATAACTATTTACAGTATTATCTGTCTGTGAATCCTACAAGATGTTTTTTAAATTTACAGGTGTAACATCAGGCCACAAAACTGTGCCAGATTATAAGGGGTTATATTAATATACTAATTCTCAGCCAGGGGAGATTTTGCAGACCAGGGTCATTTTTGGTTGTCACAACTGAGGAGTGCTCCTGGATAGAGGCCAGGGACACAATAAACATCTATAATGCAAAGGACAGCCCACCACAACAAAGAATTATCTGGCCCAAAATTTTAATAAGGTCATGGTTGAGAAACACCACCGTTAGTGTCACCAGAATTGAAGAAAAAAGTTCTAATTCTCCTATTCTATTTACAAAAGTAAAATAGATACTTGAGACAACAGTGATTTTGGAAAAAGAGGAAAAAAGCCATTAGATATCACAGGAAGTTTGGCTTGGAGTTGGGTTGTACAGACTGGCTGCCTGCTTAATCAAATTATTTTACCAGGGTCATAATGCCTTAAATTAAGGCACCATCCTGTCCTAGTTCTTAGCCAGCTGGTGGCGCTCAAAGCTAACAAAGTAAGCAAAGTACTCCATTTTAACAAGACCGAACAGCAAGGATTTTAAAACTCCTACAGTGTGTATTTATAATATATAATTATAATTTATATATAGAACATCCATAACCAATAATAGAAAACCTTTAGTTACTTTTAAACTATTGCCAAAAATGCTACACAATAAAGCAAAAAGATTGGTGTTAAAGTATTAATCCTAACCATTAATAGCATACAGAAAATAAATTACATGTGAATTAAATGTAAGAATTATTATTATTATTTTAATCCTCACCCAGGATGTTTTTTCCATTGCTTTTCACAGAGAGTGGAAAAGAGGGGGAGAGACAGGCAGGCAGACAATGACGTGACACATCCATTGGCTGCCTCCCGCAGAAGACCTGACTGCATGGCACAGGCACGTACGTGTTCTTGGCCAGAATCAAACCTGGGACTCTTCAGTCCAAGGGCCAATGCTCTAACCACTGAGCAAAATCGGCTAGGGTATAATTATACCTTCAAGTAGTTGGTGGGTTTTAAAATGAGTAATGCTGAGATATTAAATGGGGGTGAACTTGGAGGCTATCATATATACACAATTCTCATCATTGCTATTTACAGTATTACATTTCCCGTTATAACTGGATAACCAAATGACTATGATAACTAAAAGCTGAAAAAAACATTGCTACTAAAGCTCTTGGGATGGCAGGTCTTTGACAATATTATTTCATTCAACATGCAAGCAAATTGAGCTCTGTGTACATTGACCTCAAAGTAGTCTACAATTTGTATTCATCAGTTATATCCATATAAGCAGCTTAAAAAGAGAAAAGCAAAAACTAAGGAAATAGTAAAGGAAAATCAAAATAAAACCTTTTAAGTAAATCCAAGCCTAAACCCTTGGGGGGCGGGAATCCAAATAAACAATAAACAATCCTGGTAAAACTAAGCAAGAAAAAGGGCAAGAAAGCAAAAAGACACAATAGTTGGAAAAAGGAGCATATGACCATAGTTTATAAGAGAATGCTATTTATATCCTCTATGGGAGTAAATTTGGAAATCTTGATGAAATCTCTTTAGAGAAGTGTAAAATTTTAAAAACAATCTTAAGAAAGAACACTTGATTCCTAGGTCAATTTCACTGAGAGTTTGTTTTTTTCAAACTGTAGAGATAATTTGTGTGTGTAGGTGGGGAAAGGGAAGGCACCAAGACAGAAACAGTGGTAAGTAGAAGTGGAAAAGAAAATTCAAACTGTTTTCTTAAGAAAATTTTTCAAAGAAAAAAAAAAAGTTTTTCTCAATTCATTTTACAAAACTAACACTATCTGAATAGCAAAACCTGATTAAGATGGTCCACTCCTGTCTCCAACAAAAATGCAAAATTCCAACTGTATAAAAAAATATACAATTAAGTACAGTTTATATTGGAAATACAAGGATGGTTCATTCTTAGGAAAGCTATTATTGTAATTCACCACTAAAAAAACATTTGGTAAAATACAGCATTCAAATTTTTTTTTTTTAATCCTCACCCGGGGGTATTTTCTCATTGCTTTTCACAGAGAGTGGAGAAGGGGAGGGATGCATCAATCGGTTACCTCCCACACGAGCCCTGACTGGCACGGGGGATAGAGCCTGCAACCCAGGTATGTGCCCTTGGCCAGAATCGAGCCCCGGACCATTCAGTCTGAGGGCCGACACTCTAACCACTGGCCAAACTGACTAGGGCTACAGCATTTATTTTTAAATTTAAAAGAAAAACCACCCAGCTACACGTGGCTCGGCTGTTGAACATAGACCTAGGATCCAGGAGATCGCAGGTAGATTCCCCGTCACGGCACATGCGGCCTCGATCCCTAGTTCGGGGCGTGCAGGAGGCAGCCGATCAAAGACAACTCTCTCATCATTGATGTTTCAACTCTCTCTCTCCCTTCCTCTCTTTCAAATCAATAAAGATATATTAAAAAACAAAAACCCAAGTACAATAGAAATAGAAACATCTTATTTGCTATGAATCTAACTGAATTCTAAGTCATCATCAGATTTAAAGTGAAACATTAATAGTCATTTCCATTTAAATTAGGAATAAGGGCACTTCTTTATGGCCACTAAATTTTTTCTACTATATATGACAAAGGGTTAATATTAATAAAGAGTTCTTACAAATCATTAAGAAAAAAGATAAATATGCAAGTAGAAAGGTAGCTTAAGAATTTACATTTTAAAAGCTAATAATAAATTTCAACTTAACTAATAATAAAAGAGCACATCAATATGGTGAAATATTTTCCAGCTACTAGATTGGCAGCTTAAATGGAGACTAGATCTCTCTACACACCATCAGTAGGGATATATCCTGGCACATGCTTTATTAAGAGTAACTTGGATTGATGTAGAACTTAAAATTGTTATAAACTTGGCATAACACACCCTGTGATTCCACTTCTGGCAACTTATTTCAACAAATTAATAGAATAAGCATGTCAAAACATTTGCACAATACTCATTATAGTATTGCTTTAATATAGAAAAATTATTTATTACAAGGGAATTTGCTAAACCAAGTAATGGTACAATCTTATACTCTAACATATATTCAAAATTATTTTAAACTTACCTTTGGATAAT